TTTTTTGCCTGATTAAGTTAATTGTTTTTACACTGTTATTTCTTTTTTTGTGTCTGGCAAAATAGAATGGTTGCTTGTTGTCCTTAAAAACTGGATTGATTTTTTTTGGTACCGCTCTTTACAGTTGTGGATAGGAAGTGACTCCCAAGTCACAGTTTTCTGATAATAATTTTATGCTTCTTGTTCCCATATATCCATGGTCAGTGTCAATGTCTGTTGACATTTTAATAGCGCATGTGCAATGCATGTGATTATTTTGTCATGTCCACAAGCAAATGTACAGGTACATAGGCATACGGGCACCTTTGGACTTGGCAGGGAGGGTGGGGCAGTGACCTTATTGCCTGAAATTAATGATTAATGATCCAACATCACTCAGAGCATGGTGCATCAAAGGAACTGATAATCCACTCTGGGCAAAGATTCGTTGGTTCCTTGAAGTACCATGATCCGAGAGATCTTGGATTATTGATTCTTATCCAGATCACCCCAAAGAAACGCACCATATTTATTCCCTCTTACCTGACTCACACTCTCCAAGAGTTTTCCAGCTGTTTTAAAATGTCCATAAAAGCAGTCAATCTCATCCACCTCCTCTTCTTCACCGCCAGCCTGTCCTTCTCTTAGTAGTTCACTCATGGTCTGGTGCACCGCTCCAGCCAAAGGTTTTAACGGCGCGCCGTCGGTACTACGTAAATGATTAAAAAGTTCGCATATTAAACTAGCTAATCCGATCCACTCCGCTAATGACTTTTCACGAATGCTTTGCCTCTTTTTCAGATAGTACGCAGCTCTTACAAGGTCTCTCCTGATTGGTTCGATCAAACAATCGAAAACAATAGGTCGCTTAAAATTCAAAATGGCGGACGATAATCGTGAAGGGTAAACAGATGCAATCATGAGTAGCGTTGGAGCGGTATGTTTTCCTTTTCAGTTTTAAAAGCCTGGTAACAGTTAATCTATATACAAATAATTGTAACAGTCCTGCATTGCGGTTGAATTTTGGCATTTTTGCGTTTTAAGTGTAGATGTTCCCTAAACGCGCTTTAAGCAGTAATTTTCCACGAATTTCAAAACAACACTTTATTCAACTTATTTATAGATGATTCATGCACATGTTTAGTTTAAGAAAGCTGACACAGTTAATACTATGATAGTGAAATTTTAAACTATTATTCACCTCATCCACCTGGAATAACTGATTGTATTTAAAAAGGAAACAAATTCTATGGACATGGACACTTTTCCGCAGCCACTTTTCATGGCTAAGAATTGTGATAATGCCTTTAAGTGTTCTTTAGATATTTTTATTTCAACAAAAACAATTAGCTTCTGCTTGGATCAGTTTCAAACTGTGAAATACCTAGCTCTTTAACACTAAAATTCTTATTTTAACTACGTTCTTTAATATTTACTCGTAAATTTTTAATTGTAGATTTGTAAATTCACTAGACGTTATTATTGTAATTTCGGAGGGCCACGTGTTCGTAAGGTTTTTGATTTGCTATTAAGTGTCACCCTCATAAAATTAAGTCTCTACTACCACTACTACTACTTAAGTCTCTACTACTAAAGTCTCTACTACTAAAACACTGACAACTCACTGAACTGATTTCTCCTGCTTTCCTTGTATCACCCATTCGGTAAGTTATTTAATTCTGGCAGCAAATAAACAAGATTAAGCAACTAGTATTAACATAGTCAACAGTTTAAAACAGTTTCCTTAAATACCACTGGCTAAATTCAAAGAATCGGAATTGAGTCTACAGCAAAGGTTTTTCAGCTGCACAATCAGAAAGGGTAACACTGACTTGTAAGTTTGAAGTTAGCTCTTTATAATAGCAAATCGATGGAATTGGTCCCTTTCAATCTTTTCTGTAGGTTTCAAATGAACCTTGAGGGAACTTCTTTGTGCTGCGACAATGGCCTCGTTTTGGTAAAAGTCCATCAAAAAGTTAAACAAAAAGTGCAAACCAAAGTTTTGCGAACAAGTACTCCTCAACCTGGACTGGTTTTTCCTTGCATTTTCAGATTCCTGGGTACTTGTTGTTATACAGTTGGCCTGCTGACATAGGTTAATGTCATGGAAAAGACACAGTGGGGATTTGTGAGGCTTGCTTGATGCATGAAATCTGTCCTGTAGCACAAATCTTCTGGTTGTTCCAGTGTAGGGATGTTGTACATCGTCACCAACTGTATGACTTGTAGTGGACACATGGTTAATACTGGGGGCCATTTTGTACTCTGCTGGCACAAGTTCTGGAAAATTGTGGTCCTGTCATTTATAAGTTGAGAAGAACCGATCTAAGTATTTTTCATGACTTTGTATATGGTATGTAATATTGGCATGTTTAGTTTATATTAGTCATACTATTATAATAATGTTAATCGTATCTATAACAAAATTCTTGATTGTGATTGGTTCTCTGTGCGCTTATTTGTCACATAATAGGCACGTGACCACATGGGTGTCCTACAGGTATCCAATTACAAAATGTTGTGATTGGACACCTGTAATTGGATAGCCACATGATTTGCACATCAATTATGCTTGCTTTGATGGCTTCCTTCCTTATATTCCCTACAGTGTGTAAAACTTATGGAAAGCGCTACTGACTTTTGTGCTTAAAGCAAGTTTTTCTAAAGACCTTTTAAATTTCAAAATTTTTTTATAAATGATTATTCATATGATTAATTAGTAATTGGACCTTGTGTCGTACAATTCAGTGAGTAATCGTGCTCATAATTCAAGTCGGCCAAGCGTTTCTCGCTCATCCAATTTTGAAATTACTCACCCAATTACTCCATGAATTGTTCTCTGCTCAGTCCAGTTACTTTAATTACTACTAATAAATATATTATTCTTAGTCATCAAAGTAGAAAATGCATTTTCTTCTTCTCTGAAAAATCAGGATAACCTTATAATGTTTGCTATTTTTATTTTCTAAATATGTTTTTCATAAATGTTATTACTATCCTTACTTATTTATTATATTCACAGCAAGCTTTTGCTTTCCTTACCGACAAGATTGTCTTTGCATAATCTGGCTTTTCAAAACAACCAGAATAATCCCCCCACAGTTTCTTTGTTAACTGGGGTTCTCTGATCTCCAGGTGTCTCACAAAGCCACATGGGGAGTCATTAATCAGGACAATGGGCTTGTACTTGACAGATAGATAGAGATCTGAAGCATCCCGGACAGACTCTGACAGCACTAGTGTCTTTGATGCCACAGTGCACTATTGCATAAAATTTCAAAGAAAACATTTTCAGTGAATAAAAAATCTGCAAAATTGTCATAGTATCCGCGGGGTATTCCATGGCTTCGGAAGCCTGGACTGGACCGGCACACATGTAGTCCAGCATGGCGGCCATGTTTCTTCCATGTAGGAATAAACTCCCAAATACATACTATTTCAGAAATGTAGGTTTGTGTTCGTGAGACATTGATGGTATTTGGTGGTCTTGTTAATCAGCTTGTCTTGGATATTTAATCTAACCCTGAACATAGAGATTTGCCTTATTATAGTATGCTAGCCATATACCCTGATTAACAAAGGGGTTTGTTTTATTATGAACAGCATAGCCTGATTTACTGTAGCTTACCCCATGCCTGCAAACCATATGGTAGAACCCTCCAGTTTTACCCTCCTTTTTGTTGTATCCATGACATGGACAAAATCCATATAATATTCCTTTATATAGTGCATATATGTCTGATCTCATCTTTGCCTGAAATGAAATCATAGTAAAGATTTTTTACTTGCCAGAGTTTGAGAGGGGTTTACTTAGGTTGTGTCATATCTGATAGTGTAATTTTGTCTGATAATTGATAATTGATAATACAGATATATTTATTTGCTCTGTATTCTCTAACCATAATTAAGATGTTGACATTTGAATAATTTAGTTGAGCCCATCTTCTGACTTGTGTGTATATTTTCAATTAATAAATGTTGACCACCTACAAGTAGCTACTCTGTGTATAATTTTTATCTATATATTATATTTGATCTTCTAAAAAAAGTTCAAAGAAACGTTGTCTTGTCAGAGTGCGTGTGCTGCCCAAACTTACCTCACTTTCAGTAGCTTTAGGTGACATAGAGTATTTTATTTTCCTGCTGGATCAGATGCCAGTCCAACAGAAAGTAGGGAATTGATCATTGGGTCATTTTAATTTTTAGGATGCGTGGTTTGGTGTATCCTAAAGTTTTAAAATATGAAACTAAAGCCATAGTGTTAGGTGTCGTTTTTTGCTGACCTTAACAGGGGAGAACTGTAATATTTACAGTCATTATGTAGGGTATAAATGAATTATAGATATGCACTAGTTTACCTGCGATTTTCCTGAGTAAGGAATTTTGCAGGTCTTGCAAAATTCTTTGAGTTGCCCAGCAGAGTACTCTTGGATCTTTGCCATTTCAATCTCCCCCCTTTTGATGAGATTATGAAGTGCTGCTTGATCACCTATTTGGAACCAAAAAGGTTTAATTTTTTGCCTTACCGAGGAGAGAAAGACGAAGACATCAAGTCTCTATTTTTATTCAACGCACTAAATCTTTCAAAAATAAAAAGTAAATATATACAAACTGTATAAAAGCTGTAAAAGCGGGTAGTTTTTTTGCCTTAAGGACGGTAGTTAATTAATACGATCTGACAAGGTAATGTTGGGGCGAGAAGAGGGTTGCTGTGTGTAAGTGTCTTAATTGTAGCTTGTGTGATAACTCGCAAGTAAGCCGCATTCAGGTGAAGGGAAATCAATGATAATATTCCTTTTTACATTATGATGAAAAAAAGTTATTAAGGAAGGTAAAAAGTACTTTACAGTCGGGAACTGACAAAGTAGAAATATTTCTCAACAGAATTTTTTGCACTAGCATTACTTTTCGCGCGGCTGGAATGCGGAAAGAGCTCTTTTTTCGTACGGGAACGCTTGCTGTATTTTATTGCAAACTGACTGTTGATAGTAAAATGATTGTTTTTCTCACCATCGACTTGACTTGACAGGTACACGCTCTTCTTCTCAGCCTCTGTGTTGACCACTTCATCTGATCTTAATGATGGTGCAATAACCGGTGGAAGTGTTGAAGCATCATAGGTTGGCTCGGTGAGCACCCTTGTAAATGTACTTTTCTCAAGCCAATAAAGTTTCAATTCGTGAAGCATTTCTTCTAGTGACTGTATTTTCCTGGCTGGGATTTGAGGTTCTTTGGGGAATGCTACCTGAAAATGAGAAAAGAGGTTTTTCGCACCGAAGAAATAATGCACCAAAACAGAAGTAGGCACTGATGATCATTGGCTTGGTTTGCTTGTCATACCGTTTCAGACAAATGCTCTTGATACATGTTACGTTCTATCCGTGATTAGAAATTTTATACGTTTAAAGCAAACTTGCTCAAAGTAACCAACGTATGGTATTAAAGAGGAAACCCCAGTGGCGGAGCTAAGCGGGGGGCTCGGTTTTGTTCTGCTTGCCCTGTCGGCTTTTCTTCCTTCTGTGTTTTTTCTTTTTTTAAACAAAATAAGGGGCGGGGGGACCTGGCCCCTCCTCTTGATCCGCCACTGAACTCATTAAATGATTTGTATCATAACCATTATATTATGTTATGTTATTATTCATTGTTATATTTGAAGGTGTATAAATGACAAAATTAAATTTAGCGGTATAACTCTTACGTGCTTACTACTGCAGCAGTTCTTTTCGTTCCCGTCGCCAAGGTAGACCTCTCCTGCTATGCCACAAATTCCACAGATAACGGAATCAAGATCTCTGACTGTAATAGCTTCAAATGAATAGAATCCGTTGTACAACAGCTCTTTGACATATCGGAGTTCTCCTTCCGACAGCTGAGTCTGTGAAGTAAAAATTACGTTTCTTGTGATTTGTAACTTTACTATGTATGCGAACCCGGAAGTTGAGAGAAATCGAGTCTTAGCCTACCTGTGACTTAACAGCCAAAACTGTGACTGCTGCATCAATAACATTTGAAATTGGGTGTCCTCGCTTAAAATGTTCCCTCCACTCTAACAGAATGTCAAGGGAAATCAACACTTTGTCACTGATGTTAAGGAGAAATGAAAACCCAATATTTTAGTGTTAAAAATAATAAAATGAAATTGTAAAAATATTGAAGGGCCGCAGGCAGGATAAAACATGGTAAAATTTAAAAATGATCTCTGGCTGAAACGATTAGAAAATTACAAGCTTTCGACTGCCTGAACCACAGAAAAAAAAGGACATTCAAAAAGAAAAAAGAACTGTCAACACCAGAAAAAAAGGAACATTTCAGAAAAGTCAAAGCAGCGGCAAAGGCTCAAGGATTGTAAATCCTGGTCACACGATCACGCTATTGAATTTAAAAAGGCTTCTATCATTGATTAATGTGGTTTTAAAACAAGAAAGACAGTGGAAGCGTGGCATACCAAACTGACTCCCAGTGCAGAGAGCAAAACATTCAGAATGATTTTCGTTTTTATTATTTCGCAATTTCACGCAATTTTATTCAATTTTTTTTCTTTTTCTTTACTTCTTGTCATTCACATTTTATCCGTCGAAGACTGTAGTTCAGACAGTCGATAGCTTGTGTTTTTTAACCGTTTCAGCCAGAGATCGTTTTTAAATTTTAAAAAGAATTTGCCTTTAAATTAACTGATTTTATTTTTGTCTCTCGAGGCTGTCGTTGTACACTGCGAGAAAGAACACAACACAGTAGGTTAGAGGATATTATCAAGCGGAGAGAAAACACATCTCTAATTAGTAAATATAATACATCTGAAATTATAACATCAATAAAAATTGGTTAAAAATAATATCGTCTCACCCATTTTGAGTGTGTCAGCTTGATGCATGGCTTTGCAGCCTGTACATTGCCGAACATAAATAGATACCATCCTAAATGGATTCATTTTTGTGAAGAGATAAGCCTTCCCTTTGACTTCTCCGTTTGATCCAGGGTGGTAACGCAGGGATCCCAGCACCGAGCCACAGTCACACTTCCCTTCTTCGGGGGCAAATTCCAGCGGCCAACCCCCTTGATTTGGCACTCCAAGAAGAGTTATGGCATCGAGGCGATCAGTAAGACATATCGTTTCCTTTGGTATTTCGTAGGGCAAAGCTCTATTGGAAATAACCTTTATGGTCGCTTTTCTCGATGCGCTTGAATACTCTGTTGCAGGTTGAGGTGCCGGAGGATCAGACTGACTGCTGGGCCCTGCCACCGCGCTAGGGTCAGATGGTTCCTGTACAGATTGATCGTCAGGAAGCTCCGAGAACACCTTTTGTGTTACCTTGTTGTACAACAACAGCAAATGCAGATGAAGGCAAACACCTTTTTGCTTCCCTTTTTTGCATCTTGCAACGCACGCCTTGCAATCTTTACTTGCACACAACAGGTTTGTCCCCTCTTTTCGTACGTGGCAGTAACCAATAGTGTTAGTTGCTGTTGGAGAACCATACACCACAAATCTGTCCTCACAAACGGTGATAACGGCAGGAGAAGCTGTCTTTAGACTTTCAACAACCTTTTTCATTTGTGTTTGTACAATTTCGCCGGCCTCGTAGTTGCCAATGTCAAAGTCTGTCGGTGTCCAAATGTCCAAGGGTTTTGAAACGGGGCCACTTTTCACAAGGTTAACATGCTTACAAGCAAACATTTCTGCCCTTTCACCAGACACGAAGACTGCCCTATTCTTTAAACAATCAGGATGCAAACAGATCCAATTTAATCCTTCTCTAACAGTCAGGCAGCGATCATTTCTAGAGCTTGTTTTTGATGAATATACGTTTGTTATAACCTCGACGGCATCTGGAATTGGAATTGACTTTGCTTTTTTGGCTGCGGCCGCGGACGGAACGTACTTCCCACCATAGTAAAATCCACATTCGCAAAACTCTGGTTTGTACTTGTTTGCGTACTCATGCTGGCAGGACAAGCAAGTCCCTTTCCCTCTTTTGGACATTATCTAAATACGGCAAGAATACTCAAGTTCAGAGAAATGCCCCATTTGGAATATCAATAATCATTGCAAAGGTTCATTTAGCACTGCTGGGTCGCCTAAACCGGCTTCCATGACCCAAAAGTAATGGTTGTGGTGCTGTCAAAGAGAGACATTATTTAAAAGTAACCCTTTATGTGCCAAACGATCACACCGCGATCGCAATGCCAAAATGGTACTTACCTAATTGCTTTCACACGGATATCAGACACGTCTGTGCAAGTTAGAAAATTGAAGTATTTTTGCGCAAAACGGCAAATGCAGTGTTTACTGGAGTAAAAGTTTTGTCTCCAAATATTTGTGCCTTTCAGTTCTTTCAACTGATAATAGGACGGTTTCTGGCACCATCTTGGTTGAGGGGCAAACTGGGCAATAATTTTTGTGAATGTATTGAAAAGCCTTTTTGCGCAGCAAGTATAATTTAAATGTTATTACTAGTGTCACTTGTTGTCAGAAAGTTGTATTTGTAGCTACTAGCCTTTTATATTAGCATAGACGAGCCAATTGTTATTTTGGATTTGATGCTTGATAATATAGTTTGAAGACGATTGACGTTCTCAAGCCTTTATGAGTGTATACAACGTACAGAGATACCCAGCAGAATATTTTATCGATCAAATTTGCAACGGGGATTGTGGGGAAGGCGGGGGNTTAATTTTGATTGGGTAATCCTTCTCATATTTGCGTGATTGCTGTTATTAATAGCCCTTTTTGATCTCGCATCATGGAGTCTTCCGATATAGAGGAAGAAGTAAAGTAATTCCTTTAACTTAAATTTGATTATTATTAAATTTCTCCAGTCAAGCAGGTAGCAAATTTACGAATACTTAAGCGCTTTCATATGAATCTTAGCAACTTATTTGGTATGAATCTTAACATCCCGTAAAACCCCACATGATGTTGTATAAGCCCAGGGCGTGTGACCGAAATTTTTACGGTATGTGTCGTGGGAAACGTAACTCTGATTGGCTAATCACA